ATATCCCCCATCATAATCACTACAAAGATACGAAGCCTCCAGTGCCACGTTATTATTGCCCACTTTTCATTCAGTAGATATAGATATGTAGATAGTGATAACTTTTGTGAAACATCATCTCTTCATCTGATGAGAACAACGTCCAATTAGAAAGTCAAGTGAAGACATACTCTTATGACATCTAGGTGACAGGCTATTAAAACAAGAGAGGGGAAAATAAGAGGCAGTAATGTACCAAATCTAGTACTTTCTTTTTGGCAACTAAAAATTGTATGAGATGCAGAGAATGTTGCATTGCACTTTATAGATAAATAAATTTTTCTAAGATTATGATTGTATCTAAGCATGCCAAAGTTAAGCATGGTATATAGTACCGTACATGAACCTTATATTGTTTCAGCCCTATGAAATCTAGAAAGATCTGCTCTTAACTAGTTGAAAATACAGCAAATGAAGAAAGATGACTTATTCTCGGGCCTAATTCATCCTACCTCTCAGATAGTTACTGCAGAAAATGTAGACTGTCGTCAGGAGTTACCTCATGTCTCTCATCACTGACTACAGATTTAAAATTGACTGAGCTACTGCCTTAGGCTGGACACCTGACAAACCACTGATAAAGTTAAATGAGATAAATAACATCTAAAGAGCCCATTGAGTGATACGGTTCTGAATTCACTGTGAACTTCAGCTGTTCTACTTTTGTGTAGCAGATTTTCTTCACTGTGACCTACTAGGAAAGAAGAAATACAGCCTCAGAATGTAAAAAGGATTATAGATTTATTCTGATAATGTCTAGAGTAATAGAAATCTATTGGTTGGTTGTTTTTCACTCCTATATGTCTATAGAAATTAGAATAGCTGCAGGTACAGGAATCTTAAATAACTCGATTTTCGCTTCTACGTGTTGCTAGTACTCAACATTTCTGAATGTCTCCTTGGGATTCACAGATGTTTCATTATCAAAGTGAGCTCTGAACTACAAAAATTAAGTTTAACGCAGCTGAACATTTTCAAATGTATTTGAAAATATGCCATAATGATGAAAAATAGAATGCAAGTATTTCTACAAAAACACCTCAGTGGTGTTTTGGAAGCTGGTTATCTTCAGAGGAACCTGTACTGTCTCCTCATGTCAGAAATTTTTCATACAACCTACTTGTAATTTGCACGGGAAATGAAATGAATTTCCTATTCATAAAAGTAAACAGGGACATGACACATCCAAAGATATTGCCTCGGAAATAGTTGCAGTATTGAGCAGCTCTCCAGTTGTGACTTTCTTCTCATCTGCTTTCATTCCTGTCTTCCATTGGTTCCAGAGGTGACCAAGTCCTTGCAGTCTTGGTCTCTCCTTTCAGCTGGAGTGGGAAGAAATGGAAAATGATTTTCCTCAGCAAGGAGAACTTCCTTTAGCTCATGTGCACTAATGTTTGTGCCTTTAAGCTATCACCCTCATGTATGTGATTTTCTACACAATAGCTTACCCACAGATGTCTTTCTCACAAGTCCCGCAACTTCCCAATTTAAATTTAATCATTTTCTTTCACTTAAAAATTTTTGGTTAAGTTCTATATATAACAAAGGAAAAAAAAACACAAGAAATAGATGATTTAAAATTAAATAAGGAACTTACTTATACTATAGTTCTGTAGTTCTATGACAAGCCTAAAACACTCAGCTCCATACTAAAATTAGACATTTGTATCTTAGCCAATGATTTTATTTTTAGAGCATGTTAGTAGTAGATGATGAATGTAAGAGAAGGGCTTTAACGCTGTAAAACTCTACATGTATCTAAACAAAAATAGAGGACAGTACATTCTTTGTAGCAAAAGACTTGCGGTGGTTGAATAGCATATAAGCTACAGAAGCAGTCTCGATATAAAGGATGGAAAATTTCAAATGGGATCTTACTCAAACCTTGTTAACTGCTCTGTTGCTACATTTTTTTTTTTCCACAGAATCTGTGATGTCAACTAAATTGCAGAAACCCTTCTCTCTGCAGTGTGTCAATCACTACCATCCACAATACAGAAGTCCACAAGCAGATGTATCTTTAAAATACTCCTTATTTATATATATATAAATAAAGTATATTAAGTATATAAATACTTATTTAAAATAATGACAAAAGTGAATAGGTCTCCTTTACATGGATTATCTGACAATATTTTTTACAATCTTTGGTTACATGGGCTTAAAATTCCCACTAATTTTATTTCACCAAAACCGTAGGACACCTAAACACTACTAAAACCTGAAAATGTCTAAATTATTTTTTTCCTTAAATCGTTACATTTCAGGCAAATTAGAGGCATGCTACTGGCTATTTTCTGAAGGCTGTCCATTTTCAGTGACACTTTATGTTTAATAACCTCACTGTCATTGGTAATAACTCTCTGCTTTTGGTTTGAAAATGAAGATGTGAAAAGATGCTTTGATACTTTAGTTTTCTGTTTTTTAGGGAAGCTACCAAAATGATTAGCTAAATGACCAATCAGTTCAAAGTTGGATCCAAACATCCTACAAGTCTACATGATCCTGTTAACTTCAATGGCCACGCTACTTGTGCCCAGAGATGATAAATAAATTGGTGAGATTTTCATGGGAGAACACACTTGCGAGTTAACTAAAAAGGAAAATTTGCCTGACTTAAATAGTTATGTGTGATCCTAAAAATTTTTTAGAAAGGCAGATAAATAGATAAAGACTTCTGCCTTCCAAACCATCTCCAAGCAGCAGTGATTTATACAGGTTTTCTCAAACTAAACTTTTACCCACTCAAAACAAGGTCAAGGAGAGAACAAAGAGAATCAGTTTGGAGAAGGAGTGACCATGTCTCTTTGATCGGAAGATACAATACTTAGTGAGGCATATGGAACATTCTCATCAAGTTGTCATCATGTTGCCTTTTTACTCATTGAAATACTACAGCTAGGCTGTAATTTAACAGCATGGTACTCAAGGCTCCCTCTTTGCATTGCTTCTGAAAGAAAAAAAACAAGGAAGTTGGGTTGCACTATCATTTATATATCTGTCTTGTAGCTAGAAAATATGTTTGATTATTGATGTCAGCAACTTTGTTTTCCCATTTCCTTAAGAGATTCAAAACTAAGAAAACCTTCATTCTGTAGTGCCCCTCAGTGGAATAAAGAAGTTGTTGATGTGTTTCTGTCTAACTTTTTCAATAATTACGATTTTTCTCTTTGGTGATTTGATTTCAGACAATTATTGCTTTTTCTGGAAGCTAGAACTTAGCATGCAGTAGATAGGAGAACAATTGTATTTCTGAGTAAATTTTACCACAAAATAAATGAGAAAACTTATAAAAGTGAAAAGTATCCTGTATAAAAATATTCTTCCAGTACTAGAAAATGAGACTATTTGGGATTTTCTTAACAGAGAACAAGAAAGAGAACCTAGGGGTCAAAATGGTCATCTAAACAACAATATACTTCTCACTTTGTGAATAAGCTATCTATACAAAGTAACAGGCTGAAAGCTGGAAACAAATTTTGTCTGTGTGTATTGGTAAAACAGAGCCTCCTTTCCCTGCATGCATGATGAACACATCACTGAATTATTTAAATTGCTGGGATTTTGGACCAAGTAAATTAAAATCATGTTCTAACAATTTTACTAATTTCTGTTATAATAAGAGATAAAACAGTGGACAAAACTCCTGAGGAAGTATTTACAGCAATATCTAATACAATCTTTGAGACACGAGTACAGAAGAAAATATTGTTGTTGTGTGGAGGACGTTATTACAAACAAGCACACAAAAAATTTCATAAACGAAGACAGCAAGCACAAAGGATCATGTTCCTTCTTTTTTTTGATTAAAAAGACAACGGCTCCTACATTAAGAAGCACACTTTGTACAGGAATGCTTTGCTCACAGGTGAATAATATGATTCTTTATCTCTTAGTTAATTGGGAATTTTTTGAGAACTTTAGTCAGGACAAATGGGTAATATGAAAGCTGTATATCTGACCTTTTCAGCTGTATAAATAATATATAAATCATATTTTAATTTACCCTTGTATTTCTTAGTTCTGGAAAACTACAAGATAGGAGAAATAGATTCATCTTCAGTATATTATTCTTTTTTATGAATATTCATAATCATAGGAGGTTCATTCATGAGAATTCTCACAAGACATTTCCTTTTTTTTTTTTTTATCAGTTATCAGCCCTTCACACTTTCACATTCTCCTCCCAGTAGTGTTCACATTCCTTTATCTTTTCTTCTTGGCTTCCAGTATCTTGTATCCTTGGTAAGAAGTGCTAGTGTTGGTATGTAACTGTGAAGAGTTAGCTGCTGACTCTATGTGAAGCCCAAAGCAGCTTAAACAAGTGCTTTCTCTAAGGGAGAAAGACTTTCATTCATTTCTCACTGTACCAGGTGGATTATACAGTAGGATGCTGGAGTGGATAATAAAGCACTAAGTAAGATAGGAAAGGGAAGAGACTCAGTTGCTCTTCTGAGTGTTTATGCTCTGGCAGATAAAGACATCCCTCTGCAAGTGGGCTTACTGCATTTCTGTTCTCTTCTGTTGGATTAAAGCAAAATTTCACAGAACTTTTTCTGCAGGGAATTTTGCATCTAAGCTGGACCGTACTAAGTTGTAAATGGCAGTGTAGAGAAAAAGCTAGGGTATTTCCAGGGTTTGGGATCAACAGGAGAAATCTTCATAGTGATATACAAATTAAACATGTTCTGTCTTGAGTTCTAAGTGGAAAACGTAATATGGAACAAATAGAAATTTGTTGGCATTCTGCATCAATTAGTAAGAGCAGGATGTGTATAGATCTGTGCAACAACAAGCTGCAGTGTGCTACCTTTTGCTAACAGCCAAATTCTACCTAGACATTTGTTCACTGCTTCAGCAGGGTAGGGGAAGAAAACTGGAAGAATAGAAATGAGAAGGCTCATGGGAAGAGGGAGCTCAGGGAGCTTGCTTGCTAATTACCACCATGGACAAAGCAGGCATAGTTTTGTGAAAGTTAAATTTATTGCCAATTAAAATAAATGTCATTAATAAAAATGTCATTAATAATTGGATTGTAGGAAACAGAAAGGCAAACATTCAGACAAAACCCTTCATCCCCCTTTTCCAGAGTCTACGTCAGTCTCAACCGCCCCTCCTTGATCAATTAGAAATGACCCATTGTGAGAACCCATGGTTTGCTGGAAAGAGGGGATGAGAATTAATTAACTCTAGAAGCTGTAAAAGGCTGAAATCAGACTCCAGCTGCAACAGAAGTAACAGTGTGAAACAATGAATGCGGTCAGAGGGCTGAAGATGAGATCAGTGAACTGTATTAGCAGGAGCAGGCAGCTCTCTGGTGATCACTTTGCTCTTGGCTGAGCAACGTAAAATTTATCTATTGGGCTTCTGCAAGCCTTGATGAAGCCTTTCTGTTCCTGTTTACTTCAGCAGAATTTTAGCATCTCAGGGAAAGGTGAACTGCAAGAGGAGTTTCATCTCATGAAATGTTGATTCACCTGCACAACAATCCTATGGAGCAATAAGTCTTTCATGTGCAAAGACTCACCAAACTCCATGGGCAGAGAGACTTCAAATCCCAAAACAGGGATATGCAATTAGTTATGCTGTCTTCAGACCATAGTCTGGTTCTTGCATCACCTCCTGGGTTTTAGCAATTGCTAGTATAGACAAGCCATAGTTCTTAAAAGTGTTAAAAAAATCTTATTGTTAAAAAAATCTCACAATTTTTGGTCTCTCTGTTTCTTGGCCATCGAGATCATCTTGACCTCAGATTAGTTATAGGAGAATGCATTTTTCTTTCTTTTCTTTTTCTTTTTTTTTTTTTTTTCCTAGTTTTACAATAATAGTTTAAATAAGTATCTTGACAAATGTGGGTTATTTTGGTACCAAATGAAGTTCTGTCTTAAATGGCTGTAAATAATTTGACTTAACTGTTAGAGTATAATCCATAAAAGAAGTGTGTGGAAACACTAGTTAAGATAAGTATTGCAAAAGCCCATTAGGAGTGAATAGAATGGGGAATGATTCATTTTCAGCTGTAAGAAATGCCGTCTTCATATTTATAGGATTTGCTATTACTTAGCAGTAATTACTTAGTAATTACTTAGTAGGAATAAAATTTTACATACATAAATTCCTACCTTCCACTTTTGCATTCACAAAAACAATCTACAGTCACAGACAGTATATAACCTTTATTTTTCAAAACAGATAACAATCAGCGTATGATTTTGAAATATTTCAGGCTAATTTGAGTAAAGCCATGCAATTCAAATAATACTTTTTAAGGTTCCAGTTGAATTTAAAGAGAAAAATGCTTGCCATTTTGAGAGCACAACTGTTTCCTTTGTTCTTAGAGGATATCAGATTGATATTAGAGAAGAAAAATAAATAGCTCATTTCATATTACTTTTTCAGTGATAATCAATATTTATGTTTACAAAGCGCTCAGAGGCATAACTGAGACATTACGGGAATGATACATGAAATATATCCTCACCACCTCTCAACTCAAATGAGAAAGAAAGGTTATGGCTAATCATAATGTATGGAATTGACAGTGGTAAAAAATGTTGAAAAAAATGAAGGCTTATAGTGCAATCTTGCTTTGATTATTGAAATTGGATAAAGTCCTGAATGAAATTAAATGATTTTTGGAAAGTTATAGTCTTATTTTAAGATTCACAATACAAGCCTAAGGCAATAACATCCATAATAATATACACATAATCATAAATTGGGGAAAAAAAACCAAAACCAAAACAAAAGAACCCAACACTGGAAATATAAAAAGGCCTACTGAAACAAAAGTAACAAGTGACATTTTATCATGAAATATTCTCTGCCAGCAGCTTTATATCACCGTAAATCTGCGAAAATGATTTCACAGGTAACAGCGGAGGCCTGAACTTTTTTTATCTGCCATGCACTCCAGTATGGAAAGAGCTACTCCTAGAGAATGATCCTACCTCTTTTCAGAAACCATTATCTAAGTTGCTTGTTGCAATCACAGATTTTACAGCAAAGGACAAAATATGAGACTGGATCTAGTCTATGTGAGGCCGTGATCAATAATCAGAGTATCAGCTTGACTCAACAGTGCAACAGCAAAGCAATCTGAGTTGCATTCGTTTGTCAGAAATTCAGTTGTCCGAAACACATGTGAGTAAGTTATTTAATTGAGATATGAACAGGTTGGCAGGCAGAGAGAATGGGGAAAAGCAGTGACATTGCCTGGAATTATGCAGAAAATAGAGCAATGGATTGTTACAGGTGTGGTCAGATGCTACAAGTATCCAGTTGTACAATGAATGTAGTGCTCCTTCAGCTGGTAGTTGTCTCTCTAAGATCACTGCCATTCCTTTCATAGATTAAATGCAAGCATACAGCAGCTTGAGAAAATGCGTAGCATTTTACATTGTCAGATGTATAAGCAAGTAAGGTACTGATTTTCAGTTACGGGTTTTCAGGGATCTAATGTCTTCCCATCACTTTCTTAAGGTAACCAATCAATTATTTCTATAGAAACAAACAAAAGAAAGTTGAAGATAGGCTTATTTACTTTCAGTTCTCATCTATAATTTATCAACAGGGATGTATTCTGAAAAAATCCTTCTAATAGCTCAGAAACTCTGTCTATGGGGAGGAGTTACTTCTAGTAAAATCAACTACCCAGATTATTGCATATGCTTCTGATTTTATTTTTATTTTTTCTCTCACTGATCTGAGATTGTAACAAATTGGCATGCATGCACCCTGGGTATTTGGATTGGTTTCATGTTTTGACCAGCATCATATATCACAGCTTTTCATCTTAAGCTCATAGAAAGTGGTTGGCTGGTGTATTCTCAATTTTCATGGTTTTTGCTACAAATAGATCTGATTTTGTTTTGTTTTGTTTTGTTTTGCTTGTTTCTTGGGATCGTCATGTTGATAAAACATCGATTTTTCTCACCTTTGCCATGTTGTTTTACTTTCTGTTCTCACTTTGGGCTTTATAACGTGAACTACTTGTATTTTGCCAGCAGGCAGGGCAAACATAGTGCCTTTAACTGCTTCAGGTTAAACAGAAATATCCATCATTAGCATGACTTGAAGAATCAACTTACTGGTAGTATGCTGAGCTGCTGATAGCAATTGTGAACTTCAAGCCACACTAGTCAATGAGAAATAAAAATAGCACCAGTTGCAGGGCACATTTTCATGATTTATTGAGACTTTCTCCTGTCAGCAATTTGATTGAACTTTAAGAAGAAGTGATTTAGGATTGCCGGCAGTCTTGCAATCTTGCTGATATAAAAGCTATGTTCAGCCTCACACTCCCTAGTTAAGAATAAATGGAAAACAGACTGACTTTAATGCCGAGCAGGTTAAGAAAAACAGAGCTAAAGAGGCAGGAAATCACACACACGCTCACACACACAGTCAGGCCAATGCTTTGTTAGCAGCCTTTCCACGAGAAATGGGGTGCTTTTACTTCTCTGCCTTTGTCAAACACAGCTTATTACTCTTTGTTTTGCCCGTGTCTCATGGAAGCTTTTCCAGGTACATGTGACAAATGGATCACATTCTTGCAATGACAAGTACCACTGTGACTACTGTGGACCTCAGCAGAAAAGATAATGTGCAAAATGCGAGCAATCACAGGACTCAGTCTCTCTACTGTCCTGGCTTCCTTGTCTTTCTCTTGGAAGTCTTTGAGTGACTCTTTTCTTCCTTGTCTGAAGAAGGATTGGTAGGAAACTGCAGTCCAAATCCGTTAGGTCCGTTTATGAAAACACATTGAAAGTAGCGGACAGGAGCTAGGAAAACAAAGAAGAGATGGTTAACATTTATAATTTCCAAATCGACACCATGAGTCTCTGTTGTATTCCCTCAGAAAAGGACTGTATAATTTAATTCCCATTAATTGAGTTACAACAACACACAACTTTAGTGTCTCACAAGGCAGATTCCACATGTCAACAAGATTTTAGCTGAAGAGTTCAGCATGAGATATTTGTAGAAGTTTAGAAACTATAGACAATTTACATTTTTTTTCCATTATTCCACACAGTTGTAGGCCTTTTTTTTTTTTTTCCCCACAGAATATTTACATTCTAGGATAGCTGAGTGGAAACTCCTGAAAGCAACACGCATATTTTCTGATCTTGTATTTCACAGACACTTTCAGATAGATTGAGAAGTTCCAGTAGGTCTCCAGTGAAATGGTGATGGTGGCATTTTTTATTAGGGTTCAGATGAGTATATACATGTATCTATTGGTCTGAAAAGGGCAATACATGGCACTGGCTCCTTTTTTTGATTTTTGAGCACTGCTCTGTATAGTCACACTTCATTGTGCAATGTTTTAAAGGTTTTCAGGAACAGATCTTTTCAGCACAGATGAAATAGACCTTATTTGTTACAGAAGCTGAGTTGTGTGGACTCTGAAATTAATGCTGACAAGAGTTTAAAAGATAACTATGAGTCTGGCATGCATTTGTGAAAATGATTGGAGGAGTGCTGGAATCTGAAAAAGTTAGTTCTCATACAATTATTTTTCTGCTGACCATTTCTTTCCTCTGCTGTTCATTCCACATTAAAAAACAAAAACAAAAACAAAACAAAAAAAAACAACCAAAAAACAAGCTGTTTATTGTAACAGGTCCGATCTGAGATGGACTCCAAGGCTCCCTTGTGTTTTGAACTCAAAAGCAAGGTTTGTTTATTTACCGCCAAGTCACAATAAAAAGTTGAACACAGAATGGTGTGTCAGAAATGCTGGTATGTTCAACCCAATTATTTTATCCTCTGTGGCTTTCTTGCTTCACTCATTCAAAGGTTAAGTATATACTGTCTAAAAGGCGCACTTGAAAGTGATGTTAGAAATAAGATTCTTCTGAAAATGACTTACTGCTTTCCCTCTAAATCTAAGAATAGAACCATTTTTTCCCCTCAGGCTATTGGTATTTTCACTGTGGTCCTCTGTAAGATGAATCCAGGATCTCTTTTAGAAAGATGAAATTAGATTAGAGAAATCACCTTCTGATTAGAGCCCACAGCAAGGATATAGAGATTATTATAAAGGCATTTATAGAAACATGGAATCATAGAATCACAGAGTTGGAAGGGACTCACAAGGATCATGGAGTCCAGCTTCTGCCTCCACACAGGACCACCACTGAAATCCTACATATGAAAATGTTGTCCAATTCCAGCAGTCTTGGTGCCTGTTTCATGCTTGACCACCCTCTGGTGAAGATCTTTTCCCTAACCCCCAAATGACCCTCCCCTGATGCAGCTCCACGCTGTTCCATTGGATCCTGACACTGTCACCAGACAGCAGAGTTCAGTGCTACTCCTCCACTCCCTGTGAGGAGCTGTAGGCCACCATGAGGTCTCCCCTCAGCCCCCTCTGCTCTGGGCATCTCTTAATGTGGATCAGCTATATTCTCTGTGTTTGCTTACTGTGTGGTATACAGTAGTTTCTGGGATATATAATAATTACAATTAACAGGCTTATTTCACTCAATAAGATATCTTTCCTAAGTAAAGCTAATTGAAAACAATAAATTGCCACAAAAGAAGCTATGATTAAAACCAATCGTTTCCTATCAAAATGCTCTGCCAGAGATTTCTCAATAGGTTTCACTTAATTAAAAAATAAAAATAAAAATCAAGACTGAAATCGACTCCCTCTGAGCGTCAATTTGATAAAAAAATATTTTATAGGAAAGAAATTGCCAATTTAAAACTCACCGTTTATCTTTTTAAATGGAAATAATTTCTGCATATTCCTCTAATGGATATAAAAATTAAAAAAATAAAAATGAAATTAAAAAATAATTTAAAAAATAGTCCGTAGCCAGTTCACTCTTCCTTATGAAGAAGGCAAGTAGGGTATCATGCACTTTCTAGCCGCAGTAAATACCAGTAAGTACTTTATTTAAAGACAGTAGAAATCGTTTCAAAAATAACTGTGCATGCCTTCAGAATGCAAAACTCAACTCTTTCTTTCACACATTCAGTAAGTCCTGATACATACTCGATCTTTTATAGGAAGTACTTTAAACATGTTTATATATATCATAATCAGCATGCCTGACACCACAGCATTTTGTAAAGAGGTCATTTTTAGTTTTTGGATGGTATTCAAACTTCTTTTTTTTTTTTTTTTTCAAACTGTCTTGGTTAGTTTTCCTATTAATACTCCCAGCACGTAACTGCTCCTCATTGTTTGCCTTTTTTTTTTTTTTTTTTTTTTTAAAGCATATAAAACAAACCCAGTCGCCTATACACAAGAAATCCTTTTCCACTATTTCTCTTTAATGTTGTCCTTTTCAGCTGCTTTATCATGCAAACCTAAGCTGCAAAAAAAATGCAGATAAAATGTCATTCAAACAAATGCCAACATCTTTGGAACTATGTATGTATCAGAATCTTCAGCACTGTTACGATGCACCATAGCTAGGAAACAAATTGAATTTTGGCATGCAAAGAGGACTATGAATGTAACCCCTTCTGCTTTTATAATTCCCACATTAAATATGAATACAGAATGTGTCTTCTAACTGAAGAATGTTCCCAATTCTAATGTATTGTCTCATATCTTCAGGGCAAATGTTATTTAAAAAAGAGCGATGAGCAGTAGGAAACATGGCTTAACATTATCTTTCCTTAGATTATCAGAGGAAAAAAGTCTTATATCTGGACTTATGCTTTTGGATAGGATGTAATTTATGATAGCTTTCAATTCTTTAGCAGAAGAGGAAAAAGACTGGGTGTCATGCTTGAGGCCTTTTTTCATTAAAAAGTTACTCTAGTGCTTTAATTATCTTCATGACCCTTTGCTGGATTCTCTCCAGTAAATCCACACTTCTCTTGTATTGGGGAGCCCAGAATTGGACCCAGTAAACTACACGTGCCCTTACTAATGCTGGTGTATCCACGGCTCCTAATTTTAAGTCATCTGCAAACTTCTGACAGTACACTCTGCCTCATCATTAGTATAATTAATGAAGACATTAAATAGGATCGACTCCTGTGCTCACTCTCTGACACTTCCAGCTTAAAATCCCCAAAATAAAAATGATCATACGTCTCACTTTCATGGACTTTATGCATACTGAAAATCAAGTCCAATTGAACTTTTGTCCTTCTGCTCCACAAGAGGTTTCCGGTATCCCTAAGCTCATCTTAGGAGACCTGCTTTACATTTTGACAGGTGTACCATCCCAGTGAAACTCCCCTATCCTGGGGAGTACACTGCTATCTGCTCTCTAACTTTGTACCATGGATCACCACACCCTGGGCCCTGTCATTCAGACAATTTTCAATCCATATCACTGTTTGCTCATCCAGCCCTTACTTCTCCATGAGCATCCTATTGCTGATAGTGTTGAAACCAGTAGACAGTATTCACTTCTCATCTCAGCTTAACACAGCTACCAGTGCACTCAATCAGAGAAATTATCAGGTAGATCAAGCATTTTTTCAGTGACTATCTTGAAGGATTTTGTCTGTAGATGTCAGTGATCGAACCCAGACCTTTATATGAAATGGATAAATCTTGCCTAGTATTCTACAGTACTAATGACTCTAATGGATCTGGAATGCTGTTAGTGCAAAGGAACAGGCAGCTGTGTCCTGCTTGTATTATTCTGTAATTTTGTACTCCTGCGGATCTTCTAGGAAGAGGTGTGAATTTGAATGTCTTCAGATAAGAGCAGTCTGAAAAACTGTCAAATTAACTGGGACAGCAGTTCCTAATTATAAACCAGTTCTGACAACAAATAAACTCGAGGTAAGGTAACAGAACTGACAAACTCAGACAAGATTAATAAAGGGGGTTAGTACAGTGGTTGGGGTAGATGTCGCAGATGTCCTCCTGTAGTAGGAGCAGCACAAATTCAAAGTTCTTCTAGATCATCCACGTGACTTTGATTATTTCAAAAAAGAGTACCACTTAACTTCAATTACAATATCAGTGTGCAGAGAGGCTACCCATAAGTGTATAATTAAAATAAAAATGGATGTTTTTCCTATTTGTGGTTTGTATGTACAGATTTTAAATTTAAAACTCATTACAATCTACAGTTTTCTAGTGATATTTAATTGGCTTCAGATCAGATCATAAAGCTTTCATAGTTTACCTATGACTATGTCTGATATTTCCCCCTTATGTGAATTTTTAGAACAGGAATATTAATTTGAGTTAACTTTTAAAATAGATTAACTAGCCCACACAAAAATTGATGCGTGGGAACTCATCCAGAATTAAAGCAGCCCCAGTGAAATTGTCTTCAATTCAATTTCAAAATAGGTTCAACCAGATTAAATCAAAGTCACTTTAGTTCTTAATATGTGATCACTCAAGCATTTTGCACTATTTAACCTCTCCTTAAACTTTTACTTATTAACACACGGTATTTGTCCATATCAGTGGTTAGACAAGCCTACTGAGAGTTAGTCTCCAACTATTTCATAAAGATCAGCTTCAGAATGGTGGAATTACTAAGATCAAGTTACTGGAAAGGTTGAATAGGCAGCCTTGGTTCTCAAACCCTAACAAACCTCAAACATTGAACCATTCATGGCCAGTACTTAAAAGGTGTATGCCTGAAGATCAGAGGCTGTTCTACATGAACTCTCTTGCAGGCAGCATTACCATGCTGCTTGTTCTACTATCATGCTGCATGCTTACAGTGAAGAATGGTGATGACCCTGGGGAAATCTTGCTGCATGAGAAGATCTGTGTAGACACAGGACTTATAAATGAATGGACACTGATCTTACTTAAAAGTTTTTGAAAACCTCTCAATGTGCCAGTTCCTTGTATTATTTTTTAGCCAATGGTACACATCCTGATGTCCAGGAAAAACAGTATTAATATTAATTATTTATTGCCGAATGTTAGTGAGGAAAAAAAAAAGATAAACATCTAATTCAAGTTTTTTCAAGGATGTTACTACTGTTTTCATTACTACCCTCAGAGACGCAGCTATTAATGTTCTCTTTAATGATCTATGCTTTTATTTTGAGAAAAGATTTAATATCTTTTCTATATTTTTGGGCAGCTTCTCTGGTGAAGTTGTATTCAAATGGTCAGTTTTGAGAGAGTGAGTCTGTGCAGACGATGTTCTGAAAGAAACTACTGACAAAATACTGGAATCATCACACCTCTGAGATATACGGGCTACCTGGATGATGAGCAAAGCAGAAAATATATTATCCACAGTTCATCAGAATGATGAGTTTCTCACCTATCTATAGATAGGAGCAATCTATTTTGCACTCTCTTCTGACTACTGTGTATTTTATTTTATTTATTTTATTTATAGTAGTTCAATTCTTATATTTTATGGAACCAGACAAATATGTTTCTGCTTAATGATATTAACAGAGTGCATTTACAGAATGATGAAATAAACCATACTTCAAATATGGAGTCTCCAAATACTTCATGCCAGTGAGAAAGAAAAAAGGAAAGCATTCTCATTCTCAGTGAAAATAATGATCAGAGGAAAAAAAATCTTATATTGCATTTCTGACAAGTTTGTGACCCCTGAGCCCTGAGGAAACATCCTTAAATATCTCACATTAAATCTCACATTCAATAGAACTTTCACTTTTTTTTTTTCTTTCTGAAATTTGGAGATCATACTTGCATTGGAAAATATGTTACAGAGATACAAATGGTGAAAGGCAACTAAATAATTTTATAGAAACAAACTAATCAACATATGCTAATACAGACATATAATGACTTCACCCATTGGAGCTGCTGAGGTTTTCATGTGCAATCTTTTGCTGATAATATGTTGAAAATATTATTTTTATGCTGGAAAACATCTGAGAAACAGTGTTGCAGAAGCAGAGAATAAATCTAGTTGAGAAATGCTTTTTTTCATAGAAAAGATAGCATAGTATATTCAAATAAAGGATGTTTCAATTGCACCTAATGGTAAGTTTAATTTTTCCAGATGTACAATATCTTTGACTAGACATAGGAGTTCATAGGATAGAAAATCTTATGTCCATGAAACTGTAAACCTCTTAGCAATTTATAAGGGTAGATACATTAATTATGTAAGACACAGGATGCAATTTAGCATGACTAATTTGATTTCTATTTACCTTTAAAACAATCCACATATTTCTGTAGTTTAACCTATTTATACAGGTTTAAGATCAATCTCATTATTTCTCACTTTTCAAGCTCTTTCATCACTGCCTCTCTTTAATTTTGCCATATTTGCATATTTGTCGTTTAAGATAACAGCTTAAAAAAAAGTCAGTCTCTTTAGCTAACAGTGTGACAAATGAAAGAAAGTGTTTCCTGGGCTTTCAGCCATAAGGACAGTTACATGGCAATTGCAATAAACATAATCAAGTACTGGTTACTTTAAATTTTCATACTCTGATGTGAGCACTGAAGCAGATTAGGACTTAGAGTCTACAGTTGTTTGTATAAAGGATATGGAAGACGACTCTCATCACAAAGTTGAATTTGTACTCTTCTCAAATTCTACTCCAAATGCCCAAAAATCTGCTTGTGTCTGCTTGTGAATAAATTTCTTGTAAGGCAGAAGGAAAAACTAGTGCCTAAGTTTCATTCTGAGCACAGGTGTCAGTTTTGCCACTTAGGACAGGAGAAAGTAGGGGGAAGAATTTTGAGTAATTGCTTGCAGCTCTACAGGGGAGAGAAATTTAGTGTCTACTGCACATATCACCATTGCTTATATGAAAGGTACAGAGATGCTTAAAATTCTGTCCAAATGTGAAACTTTCTGAAAACTGAAGATATATTCATCTTTTTAAATTGCTTATTTCACTTTATCTGAGTGCTTCATAATACCGGGAAAAGGCTGAAGGACTCTGATCAAAATCTAAGTACATGTGAATCTAATCTATTCAGCTTTTCAAACTGGAAAGGAGATTTACTATTTAAATTTTTAGATTCGCTCAGAAAGTGTAAATCCCATTTATCAGCAGAAATTATTACAATTTGGTGCATTGGAGAAAATGCACTGTCTTCATCTTCAAACAACACAGGAAGAATAAATCAACTTCAAGAGGACATGACCTACAATTCGGTCTCAGCTTTTAAATTCTCAAACTGAGCAAATACCAAAGAACAACACTGAAAAGAAAAAAAAAAAGTTGATGTTCTTTTGGAAACCTTTCACCCACTTTCTGAATGCTTACTAATTCTATTTAGTGGACAAAGAAGATACTGACGTAAAGTTATGTTTGTGAAGCCAGTTACAAAGGACTGTTTGCATAGAGTTGTTTCTGATCTAGGAAACATCCAGTCAGTTGTGCGATATTAGAATATAATTAGATTAACCAATAACAGCAATTATTGTTAATAAAAACAGTTTTTGAATGATGCAAACTTTGGTGTGCAGAAGACACGATAATTAGTTTAACACACGCTTATCTTGAATTTGTAATTTTACTACAGAAGAAAATCTCTGCTTTAATTCATTAATTTACTTGTTATTTGTTGTCAGTATTGCTATACTGTTAGAATGGGTATGACTTTTAGCATAGGGTCTACATTCTGTGTATTTTGGTCAATTACAGAATTATAAAAATACTAAAAGGAATTTAATTTTATACCTGATTCTAAAATTGCATGCATTCCCTATCAAAGAAAAAATATATAAAAGGCTAAGCTAAGCCAAGCCATTCTTATATAGATACATCTAGCGGCACCCATACAACAAATTCTTGTGAGCTATGTGTGCAGCACACTACCATTTGGGAGCTTGAGTTTAACATTTCATTCACATTTTCTTTCCCTTGATGTCTGATTGCACTGCATATGTTTTGCACTTAGCTATCATTTTTAGGTTTATTAAAATATTTATATTTAAAATTTATAGATACATATTTATACATACATAAATGTATCTACACGTGCATCACACATTTTCCATCATATATATGGGATTGTAAAACATTCTGCCTATAGTAAGCATGGAGAAAAAAAACCAAAAAAGAACATACAACAAAGCAATCTGAATTATTTGAGATGAAGTCATTTTCTTGACTGTCTAAGAACAACAAAGTTTTTACAGGAAGATTCATATTAATATTTAGTACATATTTTGGTTTTACATAAGTACATAAGTTACATCTCAAGGTGAGATAAATAACCTAGATCCTTGTCTAGTGTTAATCAGTGCAGTTCCACTGAAGTTGCAGGGATCAATATCAGTCAAGTATCTGGAATGTATTTTTATTCTTATCTTAAACTAGGAAAAACATGGAGCAAACAATAACGCAGTGAGAGGAGATGTCCTCCTCAGATGCCTTACTCTTTTTCACCTTTTTTTTTTTTGTGGAGAGGATGTGAATTTGAAGAGACAATATTTATTCTTGTAAGAACAAATAAATGGAACACAGTCCTCATTATGTAGTTTTGCTACGGAACAGATTTTCTATGAGAAACACATGCTCATTTAAATAAATTACTGCCAAATTAATTATAGGTCACTTGGTTTATAATTAGCTACTTATTTCTTTAGAAGTTTAGTAAAATCATAAAGCAATACAATTTGAATACATTGTTTTCCACAGGAATAATATTTGTGGGTCTTACTTACTCTGCTTTCCTTGCATCATGTTGCCTTGACATGAATAACAGATACAAAACGGCTGTAGGAGTGACATCCCTTACAACAACAGGAACACTTTGGAAAGGAAAAGGAATTTCTTTTATGAAAAAAGAAGGAAAATTATATACCTGATGTCAGGTTGTGGTGTTTTGGAGCTTCTTTTGCTGGTGGAGCTCCTAAAGAACAAAACATAGATCATAACTTAGTTTTCTGCTTAAGGATGAAACATTTAATTAGATTTCAGTGAGAAACATCCTAGTGTTGGAATCAACTATGAGATAGTATTGGTATGATCCCAACTGTTTTTCAAATATGACTTTCTTTAAGCATAGAAACTGTATGTCTAGTAAACCCATAGAGGCAGACTGTTCCTAGTTTAGCAGATCTGCACTAGTACAATTAAGCATATGTTATTCTTTGAGATTCCAAGATTTTAATCATACATAGCACCTAATTGTTCTTGAAGACTAACGTATGTAGATCTGACTTCAAATCTTCACTTCTGTAAAAATCTCACAGCCTTTAGGAAATGTAAAGAGGATGTTTGTGTCATAGACCACTAACTTAAAATGTATTAGTGTATATTACTATTGATTATCTTCAGAGGTATAGAAGAAATAATTTCTATTATTATAGAGAAACAATCAGGGTGGTGCTTTATCAAAATGTTAACCAGACTATAAAAGACCATGAAGTATACAACACACACAAAAAAGTGTTCTGTTATGACACAATCATTCTACAATATGAGGTGGATGATCTAAAGCATCAAACAAGCTAAGGAAGTGAACAATACACCACCATATCAGCAACCACAGCAGCAGACTGACTAGGATAACCCACTCATCTGAAGACATAGAGCCAGAGCACCCAGTAGATCAGCTAATGATGTACCACTTTTGGGGTCACAGACAGGGCACCTCTGCAGCCAGATTGGACATAGAGCTATAGTACTTGATGTTGACACCCAGAGGAGCCATCAGACATTCAGTTACTGGGAATCTCCACACAATTTCATCATTTTGGCGTACTTGCATATGTTTAAAAATGCTAACAAAGCTCCTCTTTCCAACCCCATGAAAAAAGCTGGTTTGCAGAGATTTTCATCCATTTATTACCTTTGTGTTTTTCATCTTTCAGATGTTTCTTCTCAGTTGCTTTTTCTAGGCAGAAAAATGAAAGGTAACTGAGTTCAAGGTTGGAAATAATTTAAATACTAATTCTTAATAGATTATTATCTAGACTTTTCAAGTACAATTCTTTGAAAATTAATACAGTCTTTTAGGAGCTTTTTCATATACAAATATATGTAAAATTATGATCTGATATTATTGTACAGTCATAGAATCATAGGTTTGTGTTGGAAGAGACCTTAACAACATCTAGTTCCAAGCCCCCTGCCATAGGCAGGGTTGCAAAACACTAAGTCAAGTGCTAGATCAGGCAGCCCAAGGCCCCATCCAGCTTGGCCCTGAACACTTCCAGGTACAGGGCATTCACAGCTTCCCGGGAAAGTCGTTCCAGTCTCTAAGTGAAGAATTTCTGCCTAACATCTAAAGTAATTCTCACCTCTTTTAGTTTAAAATCACTCCCCCTTGTCCTGTCACTACCAGACAGTGTAAAAAGTCTGTCCCTTTCCTGATTATAAGCTCACTTTAAGTATTGGAAGGCTGAAAGGAGGTCTCCCCAGAGCCTTCTCTTTTCTAAGCTGAACAAGTTAAGCTCCTTCCACCTGTCTTCACAGGGGAGGTGCTCGAGTACTCTGATCATCCTTGTGATCTTCCATCTACACATACATGCATACACAGAGTAATTTCCTACCTTCTTTTTGCTTAGACGTCTTTCTTTTTTTCGGGGCTAGAAAGAATTGCAAGGAAAGAACATTAAGTGACAGCTCTCAGAAACATAATATAATCATAGAATCATAGAACGGTTTGAGTTAGAGGGGACCTTTAAGATCATCTAGTTCCAACTCCCCTGCTATAGGCAGGAACACCTCCCTCTTAGAGCAGGTTGCTCACGACCCCATCCAGGCTGGCCTTGAATTCTTCCAGGAAGTAGGCATCAACAGCCTCTCTGGGCAACCTGTTCCTCAAAGCAAAGAATTATTTTCCTCATATCTAATCTAAAACGAGGCTCTCACAGCAAACACATTGCACAGAGCTGATCTCCTTAGTAATTTTCCTGGAAAAACTGGGCTAAATGTGTCTCATGGCATATATACAATGGATCTAATATTACAATAATAGTTGTTACCCTAGTGGTAGTAGCAGCTCTGAGCTTTCTGAACAGCCTTTGGAAATCTTCTGAATATTGCTTGTTGTAGAGTACTTCAGAAAGTTCTGATCGAGACTTTGGGCACTGGAATTCTGTAATTCCCTAGCAACTGAGAGAATTGCCTAACTGTTCATTGCCAAAACTGCACCAGGGAAGGATCCCTTTGCCTTCTACCTTCTTCTTACTATATTTCCTTGGGCAAATCTGATTGCCTGAAACAAATAAACAGCAGAATTTGGAGCTAGATGTACCTTCAGAATTGCCAGATATGACCATTCTGAAGTCATACAGCAATAGATTCTTCTTTATTTGAATTATTTATTTTTTTCTCAAATTGTACATCCACTTAGAAAATGTGTTCTTTCTTTCTGACATCCTTTTCTCCAGACTCCGAACAAGAGTGGTTGGTCTGTGATTCCATTCAACAAGGCAGACTGACTGAAAGTAAGTGAGGTGTATTGCTGGCAGGTGCCTAAACCCATTTCATTATTCCCTGTTGACTATAGCAGAAAACTAGCAGGCTGCTTTCAAAGTGTTCATTTTCACTTAGTATGGTCCAACCACTTCTAATATGAATTTCCTCAATGTCTTCTGATGCCTATGTAATCTGATTATTGCTAGCTTGCTCAGTGCTTATCATCTGTGTATATCTCCCAAGAAATGTGCTACAGAACAGTTAAAATAAGATAAAATAATCAACTGATAAAAGCATTCTTTGATAGAGAACTTTACATCTGCAGTTATGTCAGTTTACCAGTGCTGGTTCACATCAGCATTGTTAACTGTTGATGAATGTTACGTGCTCTTCAACAACGTTCATTATTTCTTTCTACAAGACATAGCAGAAAAATGTAACATTTACCTGTTATTTGGATTTCACTTGTTGACTCTACAGGAAAATTGTTAAAAATGAGGATGAAGGGGGAAGGAAAAGAATATGAGGCTTAGTACCATGGTTGCTTTTTTTTTTTTTTTTTTTGCCTCAAGAAAAGTAACCATTTAAATAGATCTTCTCTTTCATCTGCAACTTTTCTGCAGGATATTAATTTGCAATAAAAAGTGTCTTAATGGCACGTACATAGGATTTCACAGTGAAAGCTAAGAGCCCCACTCTTTGAAGTACTATAATCCAGCATGCAATGGTTAATGCAAGTGCAAACACTGTACCAATCAAAGCTTTCAAGCAAGTGAATATTTAGAGCTCTTTTAAAACATGAACTCAAGGTTATAGCTGCCTTTGCTCTATCCCCCCAAAACATATTGTTTATTACCTCTCTTTTCTTATCATCTACACATCTCAACCAAAGACTGACACTTGAATAGCTGACATTCACCTCTGTATAACTTTCTCCTGCACCATCAGACTCCCCCGCCTTTTTACAGTAAAAGCTCTTGGAAGCTGGAAAAACTTTTGATTATGTGTTTGTATAGCACAAAATCAGCATATATTAATACCCGTAATAGTTAAAGATAATGAGCAACACAATGAGATAAAAATTCCCTGGTGTAAATGATTATTACTCTTTTGTAATCAAAAGAATTTATGATGTCAGGATTTGGAATCCATGAGATTTTTACCCCTCACTTCTTTGCTAGTCCGTTTTATTTTAGAACTTCATTGTAAGAAAGGAAAATAACCTTGAATAAGGTCACAGAGCACTTTGGGGTCTCCTCTGACTGAATTATCCCAATGTTTACTTCATTGTTAATACTGACATCAGATGAATGTGAGGTTCTACAGATGATGGAAACCCACATGAAGGCAAAAACCTTTCAATACCCTCTTTTACAACAGGAAGTGTGAGCAATTAAGCATAGCTTTCACTAACATATCCCAGGAAACTTTGAGTCTTGATTTTGGTTCATAAGGAGAGTCATAAATTTCAGTGCTCAGAACAGGAACCTCAGGCACTCAGTAAAGGCCAATTTTGCTGCTATTAAATGCTCACATGCTTAAATCCTTTAATATTTACAGTTCTGCTTATAATCTTGCCCACAGATGTTGAAAACTTGTACATTACAGCATTCTGAGTGGATTAAAACTGCTTCTCATTTTTATTTAAGAAAATGTTCTCTTTGAGGCACTAAATCTGCAAAATGGATTCATGTTCTGACTCCTTAACTAGGAGTTGCCTAACTGAGGGACAGGCTCAGTTTTCTCTGCAATTTCTAATATTTACATTCAGATGATTATTGTTTACCTCCTATAGATCACATAAATTCTAATTTGGGATTAGAAATTCTCTTAGTTGACCCGAAGCATGGTTTGTTTTACTTCTGTTGTATTCAAGATAGAGGACATTTTCTTTTTCCAACACATCAAGAAGTTCCCAGTTACTCTCAGATCTTTGGAAAACACTTTGCCTCTACCGTAGTATTCTCATTACAGAATTAAATGGGAATAAATTTTGGCCAATGCTGAAATTTTTCTTAAAATACCAGCCTCTATAGTCTTCCTGTTTTTTGTTGTTGTTATTGTTTTTGGTGGTTTTTTTTTTTTTTGGCAAAACTGTTTACAGTTTGGTGTAATTTCCTGCATGAATCTGAAATACTATAGTTTTGTCCTCTGTTCAAGGTGACTTCTCTCACAGTTTGAGAATCCTTAGTGAGTATGCGGAGATTATGAATTTCATTTAAAATCCAAATTGGACATAGGGTCAATTGCTGTCATTGACCTTCATGTGAACTAAACTAAGAAAATAAGTAAACTAATTACTTTTATAATAACATAATAATTAACAAGTGACTATAAAAATGCATTTGGTGTTAATTTGGGGAATTTTCAAACTCAGCCTTGTATTTCTGTTTATTGTTGGTTAATCATTTGATGATAGAAAATCTATCAGTTCAATCCACATTTAATTCAACATTAAGATTACCTGGGGTGTAATATATGAATAGATTTGGCCCAGGATGAATGTATGGATTTATTATTTGGTCTTAACTAGACCTAAACTCCAAAGTCAGTGAGCTTTTGTGTCCATGACTGTATCTCATGCTGAATTACAGAATAGCTACCTCATGTTCCAGCAAGCATACTATACATCTGGCTGAGAATTATATGAAGCAAAGATATACTGAGCTTTAGAAAAAAAAAGAAGGAGGAATTCAAATACTGTTCTCCTTTGAGTGGAAAAAAAAAGTAGTTTAAATAGCTCAGATGTTTAAAATCTTAAACTAGATTTATTCAAGGAGAGTTAGTTCAGAATATGGAGTATAAATAGAATTATTTTTGTATATAATCATGGGTCTGTTTGATACTACTTTTTTCTTTTTCTTTCTTTCTTTCTTTCTTTCTTTCTTTCTTTCTTTCTTTCTTTCTTT